CCCCCCCGCGCCCCCCATCGCCCCCCCCTACGCCCGGGCCTGCCGCCTGCGCCGGGGGGGTGACCCCGGCCCGGAGAGCCCCCCGGAGGGGACGGGCGGGCACGGAGAGCCCCGGGAGGAACGGGAAGGAGCCTCGTGCGAGGGGATGAGCGTGCAAGGAGCCCCCCAAGAGGGGGACGGACCCCCGTGTGGGATGGGTGTGCAAGGACCCCCCCAGGAGGGGGAGGGTGTGCAAGGACCCCCGTGTGAGGGGGAAGGAGCCGCGTGCGAGGAGCTGCGCCGGCTCCGTCTTTTGGACTGAAACTTCTGCAAGGACCCCCTGGGTGTGCAAGGACCCCCTGGGTGTGCAAAGCCCCCCCGGGTGTGTGAGACCCCCGGTGGGTGTGCAAGGCCCCCCCGTGGTGCAGCCCCCCAGGACCCCCCCCAATAAACCCCCCCGCTCCGCTCCTGGGGCTGCGGCGCCTTTATTAAAATGAGGGGGGGCTGGGGAGGGGGTCTGGGGGATTTGGGGGTGACCCTGAACTTTGGGGGAACCCTTGGGGGCTGGGGGGACCCCAGACTTTGGAGGTACTCCAGGTTTGGGGGTCTGGGGGGACCCCAAGCTTTGGGGACCCCTCGGGGTCTGTGAGAGGTCCTGGGAGGGGTTTGGGGGCATCCCAGGGGATTTGGGGGACCCCGGCTTTGGGGGTGATGTGGGGGAGTTTGGAGTGGGATTTGGGGGATCCCCCTGGTTTTCTGGGGTGCTGGGGGATTTTGGGGAACCCCTGATGCATGGGGGGGTCCTGGGATTTGAGGGGATCCTCCTGAGCTTGGGGGGACCCCGGGTGCATTGGGGGTTCCGGGAGGGGCTGGGGAGGATTTTGGGGTGCCCCGGATTTGGGGCTCCCCAATTTTGGGGTTCCCTCGGTTTTGAGGTCCCCGATTTTGGGGGTCCTCTGATTTTGGGTCTCCCTGGGGCTTTGGGGGAACCTCGGGTGCATTGGGGTTTCCTGAGGGACTTGGGTGACCCCCTGGTGTTTTGGGGGTCCTCTGGGTGACTTGGGGGAGCTGCTGAGGTTTTGGGGGTGCTCCGGGGGATCTGGGGGACCCCTCGTGTAGTTGAAATTCCCCCCAGGTTTTGTGGAACCCCTGAACTCCGGGGCTCCCTGGGGTGTGAGGGGTTTGGGGCTGAGAGCGTCCCCGAGCTTTGGGGGTCCCCAGAGGCCTGGAGAAGTTTTGGGGTGCCCATTTTGGGGTGCCCGTTTTGGGGTCCCCGGAGCTTTGTGGGTTCCTGGAGCTGCCGGTGATGTTTTGGGGTGCCCGAATTTGGAGATCCCCGGAGCTTTGTGGGTCCCCAGCGGGCCCGGTGCTGTTTTGGGGTGCCGTTTCGGGGTGCCCCGGGGGCACGGTTGGTGTTTCGGGGTGCCCGTTTCGGGGTGCCCCAGGGGCGCGGGTGGTGTTTCAAGGTGCCGTTTCGGGGTGCCGTTTCGGGGTGCCATTTCAGGGTACCCGTTTCGGGGTGCCGTTTCGGGGTGCCATTTCAGGGTACCCGTTTCGGGGTGCGGTTTCGGGGTGCGGTTTCGGGGCGCCCCCGGGCTCAGTCCTTGCCGCGCGAGGCCTCGGCGTTGGCGCGCAGCACGGCGCCGGGGCTGGGGTACGGCCGCTGCTGGAACAGGGGCCCGGCCGCCGTCGTGTCCGCGCCCGTCTTGGCCTCGTTGCGCTTGGGGAGCCCCGTGGACCACGTGCCCCTGCCACGGCACCGCGGGGGGGTCACGGGGGGTCCCCCAAAACCCGGGGCACCCCCAGAATAATCCCCCCCCCCCCCAGAATAATCCCCCCCCCCCCCACCCCGTCCCCGTTAGCCCGGCCCGTACCGGGGCGCGTCCGAGTAGGCGCTGGGGTCCATCGGGTCCAGCTCCTCGTCCTTGCGGCCGCCTGGGGGGCACGGGGGGGTCAGCGCGGCCCGGCGGGGGCTGCACCCCTGGGGACCCCCCTCGGAGCCCCTGAAATCCTGGGGATCCCCCCTCGGAGCCCCTGAAATCCTGGAGATCCCCCCTCGGAGCCCCTGAAATCCTGGAGATCCCCCCTCGGAGCCCCTGAAATCCTGGAGATCCCCCCTCGGAGCCCCTGAAATCCTGGAGATCCCCCCTCGGAGCCCCTGAAATCCTGGAGATCCCCCCTCGGAGCCCCTGAAATCCTGGAGATCCCCCCTCGGAGCCCCTGAAATCCTGGAGATCCCCCCTCGGAGCCCCTGAAATCCTGGGGGAATTCCCCCTGGAACTCCCTGAAATCCCAGGGATCCCCTCTTGGAGACCCCAAAATTCTGAGGAATGCCCCCTGGAACACTCAGAGCCCCCAAAATCCTGGGGGAATTCCCCCCAGAAATCCCCTAAATCCTGGGGATCCCCCCTCTTGGAGCCCCTGAAATCCTGGGGGAATCCCCCCTGGAGCCCCCCCAGATCCCAGGGCAATTTCCCCCAGAATGCTCAGAGCACCCCAAAATCGGAGCCCCAAAAATCCTGGGGGAATCCCCCCCCAGAGCCCCAAAAATCCTGGGGATCCCCTCTTGGAGGCCCTGAAATCCTGGGAGAATTCCCCCCAGAAATCCTGGGGATCTCCCCTCGGAGACCCCAAAATTCTGGGGGAATTCCTCCCCGGAGACCCCCAAAATCCCAGGGGAATCCCGCCTGGTGCTCCCCAAAAATCTGAGGAATGCCTCCTGGAACACTCAGAGCCCCCAAAATCTTGGAGGACCCCACCTCGGAGCCCCCTAAAATCCCGAGGACCCCTCCCCAGAATGTTAAAAGCCCCCTGAAATCCCCAGGGAACCCCCTGAAATCCTGGGGGGCCCCATCTGGAAGCCTCCAAAAATCCTGGGGACCCCCCCCCTCAAAACATTTAAGACCCTCCCAAAATCTTGGGGAATCCCCTCAGGAAAGCTCAGAGCCCCCTGAAATCCTGGGGGAACCCCCCTGGAGGCCCCCAAAATCCCGGGGACCCCTGCCTAAAATACCCAGAGACCCCCAAAATCCTGAGGGAATCCCCCCTGAAGTGCTCAGAGCCCCCCAAAATCCCAGGGGACCCCTGGAACACTCTGAGACGCCCAAAATTCTGGGGGAAACCCACCCAGAGCCCCCCAAAATCCCAGGGAATCCCACCCAGAACCCCCCAAAATCCCAGGAACACCCCTGGAAACCGCCTGAAATCCCGGGGACCCCCCAAATCCCGGGGAGCCCCCGGACCTTTCTTGCCCTTGGGGTACGGTGCCAGCTCCTCACGCCGGTGCCCGCGGCGCTCCCGCGGCGCCTCCTCCTTCTCGGGGGGCTCCTCGGGCTCTGCGGGGGCTCGGGGGGCTCAGGGGGGGCTGGGGGCGCCCCCGTTCCCCCCACGGGGTTTGGGGATCCCCCCGATCCCACCCTGGGTTTTGGGGATGGCTCCCGCAGTTTGGGGACCCTGAGAGCCCCCCTGAGGTTTTGGGGACATCCCCGGGATTTTAGGGACCCCCCAGATCCCCCCTGGGGTTTGGGGACCCTGAGATGCCCCCCCAGGGTTTTGGAGACCTCCCCCCCTCCGGGTTTTAGGGACCCTCCCCCGGGATTTTGGGGACCCTCAGATCCCCCTCGGGGGATTTGGGACACCCCAGATCCTCCCACAGAGGTTGGGGACCCCCCCAGATGCCCTGGGAGGTTTTGGGGACCCCAGAATTCCCCCCGCAGGATTTTGGGGACCCCCAGACCCCCCCCACGGGATTTTCATGACCCCTCTGTGTTTTGGGGACCTCTCCAGTCCCCCCTGGGGATTTAGGAATCCCCCTGGGTTTTGGGCCCCCCCCCGGGTTTTGGGCCCCCTCCCCTGGGTTTTGGGGCCACCCTGGGGTTTTGGGGCCACCCTGGGGTTTTGGGGACCCCCTGGGGTTTGGGGCCACCCTGGGGTTTTGGGGACCCCCCGGTTTTGGGGTCCCCATCCCACCTGGGGTTTTAGGAATCCCCCCAGGGTTTTGGGTCCCCCCGAGGTTTTAGGGCCCCCCCCCGGGTTTCGGGGTCCCGTCCCACCTGGGGTGCCCCTGGGCCTGCGCGCGGCTTTGGTGATGACGGAGTTGGGGTCGCTCGGGGACAGCCACGACACCAGGTCGGTCTCCACGTTCCAGTAGTAGGGCAGCCCGCTGGGGGGGGACAGGGGCTGTGGGGGGGCCTATAGAGCCTGGGGGGG